GAATGCATTAGGAACAGGTATGGAAATGAGGAAGGAGTCGTTATTAGCACAAATTACGATACTACCTAAAGAAGGAAAAGATTTATCTCAGTGCACCAGTTATAGGCCAATATCATTGTTAAATACAGATGATATATTATTTTATGTGGTAAATCCTAGACTGACATTACCAAATTTAATGAGAACATTAAAACAATACAGAGAGCTGTAAAATTTTCAGATTAACCCTCTGAAGTCAGAGATATTGAATATTAATCTACCAAAGAGAGAAAGACAGGCAATTCAATGGAATTTCACCTTTATCTGGTGGGATAAATAATTAAACTATTTAGGAGTTAGGATAACATCGTCACTGAAGGGAATATACTACGCAAATTATATCATGTTAATAAACGAGATAAAAGAGGAACTGAGGAAATTGTCAATAAGAGCACTTTCTTGGATAGGCCGAATAAATATGATTACCTAAAATCTTATAAAAGATTCATATCTTGCCAATTTATCTGCCACGTGGGTATTTTGGGGCATTAAAAAGAATAATTATGAGCTATATACGGGCAAATAAAAACCAAGGGTAAAACAGGAGATATTAAGCAAAGACAAAACAAAGGGGGTTAAAACATGCCGGATTTTAGAAGATACTATCACACAGTAGTTTTATCACGGTTAATGGATTGGGCATATAATACACATGGGAAAAGTTGGGTAAAAATTTAAAAAACACTGAGTGAAGCGCAGTTAGATAAAATTATGTGGATTCCACAGCAATACCGTATGTTTGCAGAAAACACAAGCATTTTGGCACGAAATGTTTTTAGGATATGGGATTTAATCCACAAACAAATGGGGTGGGAATACAACTCACCAATGATACCATTAGTAGGAACAAATTATTTTACACCAGGCAGGAGTAATATTTCAGGGAATTGGATAAAAGATAAGGATGTATGTGTAAAAGATATGAGATCAGGAGAAATATGCACTGTACAAGAGCTGAAACAGAAAAAGGATACGTTTGTTCTGATGGATGAATGGCGGTATTATCAATTAAAGCATTTTCTTATAACACTTCCACAGCCCGTAAGAGGGGTAGAAAACTTACACCCATTAGAGCACTTAATGAGTTTAGAGGGGACACAAAAACATTGCACTTCACGTATGCAAAAGACACTTACTTTTATTTTTGAACTGACCCCATTAGGGTATATGGAGAAATGGAAAAAGAAATTGGGAACACAAAATGAATGAGCAACAGAAAAGGAAAATATTTAGGATTCCACAAGGAGCAACGGATATGTATATAGTTGAGATGAATTATAAACGTCTGACAAGATGGTATGTTACGTCCAGTACGGTTCACAAATATCACCAAGAGAACTCTCCACTATGTTGGAGAGATTGTGGGAGAGAGGGTGCACAGGTACAGTTGTGACCAAAATTATTCAACCCCCACTGAAATTGAGTGTTTTGGCCAGTTTGACATTGCTTTTGATCATTCAGTCATCTTGCTTACATTTACATTAAAGAGGCACTTGTAGGTCAGACAAATATAACATAACAGTTATAATGAAATAACCACAAATGTCTTTTCTGTGCTCACAGCATTATCAGTTTTATTCAACCCCCAAGTGACATTCAATCTTAGTACTTAGTACAGCATCCTTTTACAGTTATAACAGCTTTTAAACGTGAAGCATAGCTTGACACAAGTGTCTTGCAGCGATCTACGGGTATCTTCGCCCATTCTTCATGGGCAAAGGCCTCCAGTTTCAGTCACATTCTTAGGCTTGCGCACTGCAACTGCTTTCTTTAAGTCCCACCAGAGGTTCTCAATCGGATTTAAGTCTGGTGACTGCGATGGCCACTCCAAAATGTTCCAGCCTTTCCTCTGCAACCATGCTCTAGTGGACTTGGAGGTATGCTGGGATCATTGTCCTGTTGAAAGGTCCAACGTCTCCCAAGCCTCAGGTGTGTGACGGACTGCATCACGTTTCCATCCAATATCTCCTGGTACTGAAGAGAATTCATGGTACCTTGCACACGCTGAAGCTTCCCTGTACCTGCAGAAGCAAAACAGCCCCAAAGCATGATTGACCCTCCACCATGCTTCACAGTAGGCAAGGTGTTCTTTTCATCATAGGCCTTGTTCTTCCTCCTCCAAACATAGCGTTGATCCATGGGCCCAAACAGTTCTAATTTTGTTTCATCAGTCCACAGAACACTATCCCACAACTTTTGTGGTTTGTCCACATGGCTTTTGGCATACTGCAGTCGACTCTTCTTATTCTTTGGAGACAGCAAGGGGGTACGCCTGGGAGTTCTGGCACGGAGGCCTTCATTACGCAGTGTGCGTCTTATTGTCTGGGCTGAAACTTCTGTACCCACATCTGACAAATCTTTTCTCAGTTCCTCAGCAGTCACACGGGGACTTCTCTCCACTCTACGCTTCAGGTAGCGCACAGCAGTCGAAGTCAGCATCTTCTTTCTGCCACGACCAGGTAGCGTTTCAACAGTGCCCTTTGCCTTGAATTTGCGAATGATGCTTCCTAAGGTGTCTCTTGGTATGTTTAACATCTTTGCAATCTTCTTATAGCCATTGCCCTTCCTGTGAAGAGAAATCACCTCTTCTCTTGTCTTCCTGGACCATTCTCTTGCCTTCACCATGTTTGTAACCACACCAGTAAATGTCTAGAAGGAGCTGAGTATCACAGTCATTTTAAAGCTGCCTAATTGGTGCTTATTATGCTTGATTGCTGCTCGGTGACATCCACAGGTGTTTTCAATACCTGATGGAAAGCACCTGTATGAACCTCTGTTCTTCAGAGTGGTAGTCTTTAAGGGGTTGAATAATTGTGGCAATGAAGAAACCACATAAGAACCATTTACTACTGTATTACATAAACAATTGATGTCATTTTAGTTGCATTTGGGTAGTTACAACGTCCTTGTAGGATTTGATTCTGAATACAATTCCAAATGTACACTATAGTCCCTAAACCCCTTTACAGCATTGGGGGTTGAATAATTTTGGTCACAACTGTAGATATGTGGTGGGAATGTCCCAAGGTACAAATATTCTGGCAGATGACATTACAACAAATCTCAGAAATAGCGACAGAAAGGATAATGGACCCATGGGTGTGTCTGTTTCATAATACCGACTTTACAGTGAAATAATACAAAAATAGGATTGTTTTCCATTTACTTAATGTGGCAAAAGGTATGATCTCTAAATTTTGGGAATACCAAGAATTACCTAAAGTTAAATATTGGATGAAGAGAGTAGAATATAATTATAAGAGGAAGGAGCTACACCATAGTGGAGAAGATAAAATGGAGAAGTTCATGGAAACATGGAAAAGGTGGTGTGGATTTAGGAGTACACGGAGATTTGCTGAACTGAAGGAATAAGAGGGTTAAGAGGATAAGTAGAGGGAGGAATAAGGAGCAGAGAAGTTACTATAATTAAAGAGCATCTGTGAAATAAGAAGAGATTGGGATGGGAGAATAAGGGTGGTGGGGGCAGGGGGAAAGGCAGGGAAAGTTAATAAAATTTGTTATGAAGATTGTTGATTTGTGTTAGTAATGTAATAAGTATATGTATAATGTATTTTAGAACAATAAAAAAATAATAAAAAAAAGAAATGAAGAATAGAATCCCTCAAGAGTTGATACTGGCCAGCTCAGTGGATTGCTTTAAAAAAGGCCTGGATTCTTTCTTGGATACACAGAATATAACTGGATGCTAACATTTATAGGTAAAGTTGATCCAGAGAATATTTGATTGCCTCTCGGGGGATCAGGAAGGAATTTGTTCCCCTGCCGGAGCAAATTGCATCGTGCTTTGCTGGATTTTTTGCCTTCCTCTGGATCAACTGTGGGTGTAGGATCAGAAACTTTTTTTTATGGTTGAACTGGATGGACTTTTGTCTTTTTTCAGACAGACTAACTATGTAATATAATCTCAAACGTTGCTTTCCAGCTTTCACTAAAATAATACCTAGAAATCCTGCAAAAAGTCCTTGTTTAGGCACTTTTCATGACACCTGTCTTCCAACTAAACTTCTGTTGTCACCCTGTCACATAAGTCCCTGGTGGAAACTGCAAGCAGCCGAGCAACAGGCAGGGTGCAACATTACTAATATCAGGAAGCCAATTCACACCAAGAAGTGCAAAGAATGGAAGTAGCTGAAACAAGCTACAGGAAAGCCCTCGAGCCACAAAGCTTCAAAACATTCAACAACTAAATACTTTCAGAATTGGGCCTGTTCACATAGAAGAGCTCCAGCACCTGTAGCTCAATGCCTGAAGCTGACAAAGCTACACAAGATGGCAGAATGCATTGTTTCAAAAAACTTCAATGGGAGAGCATGCTGGAAAATGTTTGTTTTTCAAGCCTAAACAACCATCTCCTCCTTCTAGTAACTAGCTTTCCAAAACGCACAAAAAAAACAAACAACAAAACTCCAAAATCACCTGCAAATGCTCATGCTCAGGTGTGAATACAGCCTGTGAAGCCAAAAATGTTATAGTTAGTCTGCTTGAAAAAAGACACAAGTCCACCTAGTTCAACCAAGAGGAAAAAAAAATTATACAATCCTATGTACACAATCCTATACCCACAGTTGGAGGAAGGAAGAGGAAGGCAAAAAACCCCAATAAATCTTGATCCAATTTGCTCCAGTGAGGAAAAAATTCCCTACGGATCCCCCAAGAGGCAATCTGAAATTCCCTGTATCAACTTTACCTATAAAGCAAAATGGCTATGAACACTGATTGACAAAGTATGACAGTTGTTTATGATACCTAGAGGTCTATTTATAAAGTAGAGAATGTACAGTACACAAACATTCAATGGTACAGAACCATCCAGCTATAAACAAAAAAAGACTGACAATTGTGAATAAAAGCAATATTTTTGACTTTTTGCTATAAAACATATCCAATATCTTCATAAATTTAGGCCAAAATGCAATCTGCTACATGTCTTTGCTAAAAACAAAATCCCAATAAATGTATATTAATTGGTTATGTGAAAGTTATAGCATCTACAATTGGCGGTATATATATATATATATATATATATATATATATATATATATACACACTCATATTTTTTTTTTGTTTTTAGAGGCGGTTATCAGCGACTTATAGCGGGACTGCGGTGGGCATTCTGACACTGGGTGGGAACTGACTAACGGCCACTGGCATCCCCACTGACACTAATACAGTGATCAGTGTATTAAAAAGCACTGACACTGTACTAATGACACTGGGCAGGAAGGGGCTAACATCTGGGGCGATCAAAGGGTTAACTGTGCGCATTTTACATTGTGTGCCGTTTTACTTGGGAGACATGCTGCTGTGTCTTTCTCTGCTGTGCAGAGAGATGCAAAGCAGCATGTGCTTGCTGGCAGGGGAGAGATCTGTGTTATTTACACGCAGATCTCTCCCCTCTCAGCCCTGCCGACGATCTCGGGATTCGTCGGCTAGGATCCCAAGAATTGACATCCCCAGTGGCCAACAGCGGCAAGGGTAGGGTGCGCACACCCCCTACCCAAAAGTATATATATATAATTTTGCACAGCCGTGCTGCCCTGTAGCAGTATGTCTACTATAGAGCGGAGGGCAACTGGTTATACTGAGTAATATGATATGTAATATTTGGTATATGTACTCCAGACCAACAACTGCCTAGGTGAGCAACCGTTTGCATTGGTGTCCATGTTAGCTTTTTCTTTTTCCCACTCTAATCTGTGTTAGCCCATTAGGTTATCCCATCTATACTCTTTCGTGATGTCACTGGCTGATGTCTTTTATAGCCAATGGATGGTGGTGTAACAAGCGAAATGGACGCTGTCTTGGAAATGCTTTCATCTGTAAATAAAGATACTGGCATATATTTACTTACCCAACTGTTTTGTATCTATTAAAACTTAAAATAAAGTTTAAAAAAAATACAGAAAGAGGGAGATTTACTGAGCGAACCATTAACCACTTTATAAATACTGTATAATAATAATAATAATTTGGAGAGTGCAAAATCTGGTTCAGCTCTGCATAGAAACCAATCAGCTTCCAGGTTGAACAAGCTGAAAGTTAGAAGCTGATTGGCTACCATGCACAACTGCACCAGATTCTGAATGCTCCAGTTTTAGTAAATCCCCCCAAAGTGTGTCACTGGACAGATCTGTACTGGATAAGAAAGCTAAAAATAATAATTATAATAATAATAATAATAATAATGCAACCACAAGATCTAAGGATTGGTAAACTGTGATATATATATATATATAATTGTTTGGGGTTTAATACTGAAAGTATTTAATCCGACAGTATACAGAACATGGAAATGCAATTGTTTTTAGTAAATATAAACTGCTAAATACCTTTTCCCATCAGCAGTTAGAGCAGAGCACATGTTAAATCTTGTAGAAGGAGTTTTCGTTCTGCTCTAGCAGGATACAGAACACCTGACCTCTGTCTGGACAGTGCTGATTGGCCCTGTGCTGATCACATGCACTCTCTCAAAACAATAAAACCTCTCTGGCAATACACACCAAACTGAGCATGTGCAGATGGACTCCACACAATATGTCTTATCAGGAGATAAGAGGGGAACACTGGAAGAAGGGGAGGATCAGAGCAGACAGGATCAAACCGCATTTTTACACAATACAGAGGATTAACTCCTTAGGTTCCACAGTGAGAATAACAAGCATGCTCTACTACACATACAGACTGATTTTACTGATGTGGGTTTAGTAACACTTTAAAGGATAAGTTTGTAACATGTAACATGTTCCCACTGCAAAGTTCTGTGAATGAATGAAGTCCCGGGAGGCTTTGCGGCTGTCGGCTTGTAGTTCTCAATGAACTACCACGGTGCTGTGGAGTGCTGTAATAGTTCATGGAATCTTCCTGTCAGACAATATCGGCAAGCAGATACACTGACAGTTTGCAGGAGACCTGCATGGCACCAGCTTATCACTGGTGCAATGTTTTCCAAGCTCCAAAAAAAAAAATAGTAAATGCACATTTTTTTTTTACCTGCAAAAAGAAAAATGGGCATTTTAAAGTGAACTTGTCCTTCAAATAGACTATTAAACTAGTTCCAGCCCTTAGAACATACCTATGTATCCTCAGGAGAACGTTTTTATACTGGCATCACAGCTGCAGCCTACTGTTGGCTGATGTCGCAGAGCCGGTCCAGTCTCTGCAGGGATCCTGATAATAATGTTGAGATCCACCCAGATGCCTAGACTGCTAGCTGGCTCAGCCTTTCAGCACACTGCTGAAAGACTGAACCAGTCGCACCCTCCCCCATCCACAGCCCAGGGCTCCAGTGAGAGCTGGAGGGGCAGAGCAGAGAGCTGGTGACTGACAGTCACTGACTCTCTGCTCAGAGCAGACCGAGAGCTGATCAATCAGAGGTCATTTAATTGCTCAGTTCTCTGTCTTAGGGCCAGTTCACACCACAAAAATGCACTCTGGATGCATTACTGATACTTTTTGTTTACAGTTCACACCACACTCCATGCTGGTGCAGTTTTGATGCAGTTTGCTATGTTCCAGTGCAGTTCTGTGCAGAAAAAATGCAGCATGTTCTACTTTTTTTCTGCACTGGAAACCAACTGGAACTGACTGCATTGGTGTGAACTAGTGCCATTGGAATACATGGAAAACACTGTGCATGCATTTTTAATGCAGAACAAAAACTGCACTGGACTGTATCTAGTGTGAACTAGCCCCTAAACTGGTAAGGGACAGCTGCAGCATCACAGTGATGCTGCAGCAATATAGGTGAGTTTATTTTTTCTGCCCCATACTTCTCTTTTAAATATTTTTTTTTTAAATAAAGGAAAAGTGTAAAAAAAAGTACATAAAATAAATTAATGTAAAAAAACAAACAAACAAAAAACACTCCCATCCCCCTGTTTCTGCGCAAAAGCAAAGGCACATGTAGGTCCAGCATGCATATATAAACAGTGCCAGCACCACACATGTGGGGTATCGCCTCGAACATCAGAGTGACAGCAATCATTCTAGAACCACAACTCATGTTTATGACCTGTAAAGGCTTTCAAAGCCTTTCTATGGAAATGTTTCGGTATCGTAGTTTGTCGCTATTTCACGGGTGCGCAAAAAATTAAAAACCTTAACATGTTTGGTATCTATTTACTTGGTGTAACATCATCTTTTATACTTTACCAAAAAATGAAGTATTGTGTTTGTGTTCACTAAAATGCATTTAAGTGTATTTTTTCCTAAAATTTGCATTTGGTAAACGGCTGTGCAAATATTGTGGGACATAATAAAACTTTCAACAGCCACCATTTCATTCTCCGGGGCATGTCAGAAAATATGTAATCTTGGGGGGGTTCTAAGTCATTTTCTATCCTAAATATCTTGATTTTATACCATTTATGTGAAACATGTCAAAACTGTCCCAGACAGCAAGTGGTTAAACCAGAGTTTAGTATGAATCCCACCTCTGCCTTGACAAGAAAACAATGTATCCAATACAACAAGACAATGTACCAGAGGTTATAGGAGTACCTGGAGAAGTGGCACACACACTGTAGTTCCAGATGTCCCCAGAGATCACACAGTCAATGTCCCTCAGTGATGAGCTCCACGTGAAGTCAGTGCTGTGAGTGCTGAACACTCAATGAAGTGCTCTCAGTGCTGTCTTGTCGGTGATGTCTTCTTAGTGATACGATCTCAGTGATGTGCTCTTGGTGATGTAATCTCAGTGGTGTGTTTTCGGTGATGTGATCTCGGTTATGGGCTCTCAGTGATGTGCTCTCGGTGATGTGCTCTCACTGCTGAGCTATCAGTGCTGTGCTCTCAGTGATTTGCATTCGCAGCTGTACTGTGCTTTCTGTGATGTCCCCTCAGTGATGTGCTCTCACTGCTGAGCTCTCACTGCTGTGCTTTAAGTGATATGCTCTCAGTGATGTACTTTCAGTGCTGAGCTCTCAGTGCTCTGCTCTCACTACTTTGCCATCAGTGCTGTGCTATGGGTACTCTGCTCTAAGGGATGTGCTTTCAGTGATGTGCTCTCAGTGATGTGCTGTTGGTAGTCTGCACTCAGTGTTGTGCTCTCAGTGATGTGCTTTCAGTGCTGTTCTCTCAGTGGTGTGCTGTCAGTGCTGTACTCTTGATATTCTGTGCTCAGTGCTCTGCTCTCACTGCTCTGCTCTCCGTTCTCTGCACTCAGTGATGTGCTGTCAATGCTGTGCTCTCAATGATGTGCTGCAGTGCTGTGCTCTTGGTACTCTGCACTCAGTGCTGTGCTCTCAGTACTCTTCTCTCAGTGATGTGCTGTCAGTGCTGTACTCTTGATATTCTGTACTCAATCTCTGCTCTCACTGCTCTGCTCTCAGTACTCTGCACTCAGTGATGTCCTGTCAATGTTGTGCTCTCAGTGATATGCTGTCAGTGCTGTGCCCTTGGTACTCTGCACTCAGTGCTGTGCTCTCAGTGATGTGCTCTCACTGCTCTGCTGTCAGTGCTGTGGGTACTCTGCTCTCAGTGTTGTGCTGTCAGTGCTGTGCTCTGGGTACTCTGCTCTCAGTGCTGTGCTGTCAGTGATGTTCCCACTGCTCTGCTGTCAGTGCTGTGGGAACTCTGCTCTCAATGCTGTGCTGTCAGTGCTGTGGGTACTCTGCTGTCAGTGCTGTGGGTACTCTGCTCTCAGTGTTGTGCTGTCAGTGCTGTGCTCTGGGTACTCTGCTCTCAGTGCTGTGCTGTCAGTGATGTTCCCACTGCTCTGCTGTCAGTGCTGTGGGAACTCTGCTCTCAATGCTGTGCTGTCAGTGCTGTGGGTACTCTGCTGTCAGTGCTGTGCTCTCAGTGCTATGCTGTGGGTACTCTGCTGTCAGTGCTGTGCTGTGAGTACTCTGCTGTCAGTGCTGTGCTGTCAGTACTGTGGGTACCCTGCTATCGGTGCTCTGCTCTCAGTGCTGTGGGTACTCTGCTGTCAGTGCTGTGCTGTCAGTACTGTGGGTACCCTGCTGTCAGTGCTGTGTTCTCAGTGCTGTGGGTACTCTGCTGTCAGTGCTCTGCTCTCAGTACTGTGGGTACCCTGCTGTCAGTGCTGTGTTCTCAGTGCTAAGCTGTGAGTACTCTGCTGTCAGTGCTGTGCTGTCAGTACTGTGGGTACCCTGCTGTCAGTGATGTGTTCTCAGTGCTGTGCTGTGGGTACTCTGCTGTCAGTACTGTGGGTACCCTGCTGTCAGTGCTGTGTTCTCAGTGCTGTGCTGTGGGTACTCTGCTCTCAGTACTGTGGGTACCCT